TCATTCATTTATTTATTTATTTATTTATTTATTTATGTATTTATTTATTTGTTTATTTATGTATTTATTGAATATGAACTTTAAGAAAGCATTTGAATTTCTGTGTTCTTTTGCAACCGAAGCAAATTTAAATAATAAAAGCAAACTTTTCATTACCAAGACAAGCTCTACGCTCTTTTCATTCTCTCTATACAGTTTTGTTTCTCCTGGTCAGAGGCCATACATGAAAGAGAAGAGGCAGGGACAATGATGTCTTTCTTTAGTGAAACAACCACTAAACCATAAGCTACTTAAGAATACAGCAGTTCAGACTGATGGGGTAAGCGTAAGCAACGTAACGCGAATAGTCTTGGTGATGACGTTAATATTGGAATGAATGGGACTTGGTTTTGCGAAAGTGCTTGAACTTTGACATACAGCAAGTAGTCTGCTCTTGTTTCATATTGGGTAAGTTCTTTTGATGTTTTCATAAGTAGGACTCCCCCCCCCCTTTCTCTCTCTCTCTCTCTCTCTCTCTCTCTCTCTCTCTCTCTCTCTCTCTCTCTCTCTCTCTCTCTCTCTCTCTCTCTCTCTCTCTCTCTCTCTCTCTGCGCGTTTGTGTGTGTGTTATCGCCATAATATTATTATTATTTCAACGTTTGCGCGAGACGACAATGGGCTACTATTCTGATCATCCAACGCAGATTGTCCGGTTTTTCCAAAGCCCTTGAGATAAAGGTGCAGCTTTGGATTTGTTTTATCAGAACTTGAAAGTTTTGTTTTAACAACATAGGGCGCTTCCTTCGCAATGATCTGGACGAAAAGTCTCAGTCTCACGCTCAAAGACGAAATTATGGTTCACCTTATACACTTTAAAAATGGAAACAAAAACGCTTTGTTGTCTGGAGAAATATTACGACGATGGTCTTACGTATTGCACTGTTCATGAAAAGGGATGAAAGCATTGACTCACATATACATAATGTGCAGGAAAAGCCACTCAAGATAACTGACTTTGTTAATACTACAGTTATTTTGATGCTGTTGGTGTGGCTTTTATCCTTGCTGGTGACGACTTCAGTCATACAGGAGTTGACGTTCACCCTCAAGCCCAATGCACACTGTATCCGGAAAAACCCACCATCGGACGCCTTTATCTTCATGTTTACGCCCTTTTTTCAAAGTAGTATTAATGTTTCATAGACAGGGTTTGTACTTTTAACCACTTCACTACCGAATATGCTGAATAATCCTATCGAAGAACACTTATCGTAACGCTCAAAACAGTGAAAGGGTTAAAGTCATGGGATCAACACAAGTCACGCTCAGATTCAAATTCAAACAAGATTTCCTTTGCTATCTAATTTATACAGCATTTCAGTTGTTTTACATCATATAAAAAGGTTTAAGATTTTTTTTTTTGAAATTTCCTTGCCCTCAAAACCCCTGAAAGGATATTATCATGATGATTCTATGGAGCCGGGAGGATAGGAGAGGTTGGGGGGGGGTAAGCATCAAGTAACCTATCGAGAGATTATTGAAGCCTCCCTTTTATTAATTTACCAATCTAAATCATTGTTCATTTCCGCATAAGTACGAAAACTGGAAAGGGCGTGCAGAAGCTGGAGAGATCTTTTTCATACTAAGCAGCAATCACAAAGATGGGACATACTGTTACAATGGAAATCGCAAGAGAAAAGAAAGACGCTTAAAAGTGAACAAGTGAACAAGACTTCGAAAAAAGGAAAAGCCGCATCTTAAGTAAGGAAATAAGGAGAAATAATAATTATATTATACGCAAACACGTGTGTGTGTATTTGTGTGTTAGTGTGTGTGTCTGTGTGTGTGTCTGTGTGTGTGTGTTTGTGTGTGTGTTTGTGTGTGTATAGGTGTGTGTGTGTGTGTGTG